TTACAGAAGATGATCAATCAAAAATTTACACATTTGCACGTGCATAATTACCATACGCAACATAGAACCTCATATATATCCAATTATATTATTTATCAGTACAAAATTTTAAGTCCTGTCTTGACTGACTTTTAGACTTAAATGGAATTCATGATACTTCACTTTTTTTTTAGAAAATAAATCACAAGTGAGTATTTCACATTCAAATATTTTTTTCCTATTTAAAACAGGACATAATACATTCACAGTCAAAATTCACTGTGCTAACATTCTGATAAGCAAAAAGGCTTAAATTACGGGAAACGCAAACAAACCTTTTACAGTAAGCTCCGTGTCATAAATTTCTTTAACAAGCTCAGAACTAAAGGCTTTCTTCTCTCCAGTTTTCGCCCAATTGGAAGCTGCAATTTTAGTCAAGCGGTCACGTTGGATCTCAGCAAGGGTTATAGAGCTAGGTATGTTCGACCCGGGCTTCGACTCCGGCGGCTTCTCAGTCATAGAAGGCAGCATTTTCTGTGGAGCCTCCGCCGTCTGCGGCAATGCTTCCACCGGGTACTCAGCTACCCGGTGGCGCCGGAAATCGTAGGTGCCAGTTCCGTATACCTTGGTCATAATTGCTGTAATTACACTTCCGATGAGAAAAAGTTAAGGGTGCTTGTTTCTCTATGAGATTTGAGAATCTCGTAGAGGAGAACGAAGAACAGGGTTTATGGTAAAAGAGAGTTTTGGGGTTTTGAAGATATTGGCAGTCACTTCAGAAGAAGTGAAGGCGGTGAAGAAGAAAATGCAGAGCTAACTTGAAATTTGTAGTTCGACCCGAACCGGCCTGACCCAGCCCAAATTTACAAGGATGCAAAGAGATAAATAAGCTACCGTTAGATAACTATAGTTTCGTTTGCTATGGCCTATTACTATTTTTGTTTGCATGTTTCGCTTGTCAGTATAAAAATGAGAAAATTGTATATAACACGAAATTTTAATTCAAATTAAATGCTATAACCATAGTTTGATTTAATTGTATTTCATAGCAAACTGTTGTTGTTCGTCTCTCCCTGTGAATCTCGCTCGTCATTCTCATTCTCTCCCTCACCTCTCTCGCTTTTATAAAATGTGTTTGTATTTATATAAAGCGAGAGAAAATTGTATATATACATATATTTTTGTTCCTCTCTCCCCTATCGTAGATCTCACTCGCCTCTATCACTTAATACAAAAACGCAAATATATAAATGCGTTTATATTTATGTAAAGAAAGAGAAAATTGTATATATACATATATTTTCATTTCCTTCTATCACATCTCCCGAATCTCGCTCGCCACTCTCTCGGTTTCGCTCACTCACTCGTCTCTCTCACTTTGTACAAGAACACAAATATATACATTGTGTTTGTGTTTGTATAAAACGAGATAAAACTGTATATACAAATACAAATGCATATAATTTCATCCTACACACCTATGATTATAGAAATACAATCTTCCCCTGCCCAGTTTTCTTTCTCGCTTTTTACAAACACAGATTATACAATCGATCTTTTGTATATGCATATCAAAGCAGATTGTGCCACTGTTTTCTTTTGTATATATATAGCAAAATTATACAATTGCTTTCTTTTGTATATGTATAGCGAAATATACATATTTATGTTTGTTATGGAGCACAATTATGCAAATTTTAGTTATAACATACAAATATGATTTTTATGTTTGCTATATGTAAAAGTTACTCTATATAAATATATACAAATTCTATATTTATACGTTTAGAAATATTCAGAACTTATACAAGGTAAATGTATCAATAAATCATACAAACAAGATAAATAATTCGTATGCAAATAGTAAAGATAAGCATATATAAATTCTGAATTTATACAATTAAAAATAGAATTATACAAATTATGTTCGATCACGTAATATGATTATATATTAATGGTGAAAAGTAATTCTTATAAGTTGTACCTATTTTAAATAATTAACTTGTATAAATTAATTTAATCACATAATTTTTCTTAATATTACTAGTGGGACATGGCCCGTGGTAAGCTATAGTCTGTACTCATTTGATAGACTATAATAATACAGTTAGGGGATGTTTGGTTACTAGTTATAGTTATGCAGGTATTAGCTAAGCAGGATGTAGTTATGCAGGTATTAGTTATGCAAGGTTTAGTTATGCATGAATTAACTATGCAAGGTTTAGTTACGCATGTATTAGTTATGCAGGGTTTAGAGATTACAATATATGAACTATTAACTATTGAATATTAAACTTGTTGTAAATTATTAATATATATCATTTACAAAATAATAATACATATTAATAAAAAGTGAAATACATTGAATAATATATTAAGCTAATATTTGATAAGCATATGTATCGTTAAAAATATACAATCAATTTCTAATATAAAAAAATCATTTATATTTGCATAAATCAATCAAAACATAAGTATATAAAGAGAAATGAAAATAATTTATATATAATAAGAAACAAAAAACAACACACGTTGATAGGAAAAAATAAAGTTTTTAATTAAAAAAAAGAGAAATTTACATAAATATATTATAATAAAAAAATATTTATCATTGATAGCAATAATTTTTTTTTCACTAGACCACTTTTAATTCATTTATAATACAAGTTCAATACATATTACAAAGAATAATTTATTATTCACTTATAATACAAGTTTTAATGGTGGATAATACATTTATCACACATATTAATATACTTATAATACAATGTGACAATTTTTTTACCAAACAAACATAATATATTTCAAAAAAATATATAATTCAAATACATTGCATACATAATTCACTTTTAATACACATTACGGATTTATCACAATATTGCTATAAATGATAATAAACAAAAAGTATCGCCAAAATCAGTAATTATTTTTTTAAATGTATTAATTTATATAATTTTTCCTTGATTTTTTTTAAAAAAATAAAACAATCTAAATATAAAATAGAAATAAAACAACAAACTTATATATAGTCCTCCTACTACAAGACATTTTCAAGAGCTTTCAAAAGCTTTTCGTATGAAGTTTACCTGGTCAATAAGAGGGGGGTACTTTCAATGAGAAGAATATCAGAGTATAGGAAAACAATAAAGTTTTCAATTAAAAACAATAAAATAAATTAATAGGATAAACATTTAATATATCACTTAAATGCATGTATAACTAATATCGACATAACTCCACCTTCTATCCTACATATTTTTATACATAAATTCCCTTATAAGTTATGTTAGAATTAATTATGACTACAAAAATATAACCAAAAATGGTATAAGTTATGTTGACTTTTTTACCTAAATAAATTTTTTTACCAAACACTATATAACTTAATACATTGTTTTATACATGAATAAAACACAAGTTATATCATACCAAACAGCCCTTTAGAGCTGACACAAACACTAGGGAGCCGTTTGATTACGGTATAACTAACATTTTATTCATGTATAAAATAATATATTAAGTTATACTATATTTACAAGCGTTTGAAAGGATCTATACTGCCTATAATAATATAATTAATGTCTAGGTCACATATTTACTTAAAATTTATTCTTATTTGTATTCTTCATGCATACTATCAATCAAACTTGATGAGTATGTAAACATTTGATTCTATGTTTCTTAGGAATTACTGACTTTGACATCTTTTTTTTTTGACTTTGTTTCTTTTTTCTTCTCAATGTAGTATACCATTTTGTGTGGTTGATGGATGATACATTTTTTCTTTTGGTGTTTTTATTCGTGATTTAGTTATTATTTTTGTGAAATTTCATTATTTGATGAACTGCCTCTTGTGAAAGTTTTCTATGCAAGTTCTATGAAACTAAGATGCGTGATACTATGCCTAAAATAACTATAGTAAATTTTGTTTATTTTTTCATAAAAGAGTATCATGACTTGCACGTCATTGAATAACCCACGAATTATTTTATTATTACGAGACAACATTAATATGCAATATGTTGTTACGATAAATAATTGAAATAAATTGTCATTTTCTTGATATGTCCCGTGTTTATAATGACACTAATGATATTCTAATCGCATTAATTCTGTTTTCAAAGGTAAAATTACTACTAGATTATTCATGTAATGAAGTACAAGCTTTAGCTATCGGATAATAGTACACGACGAACACAACTTAAGGCTTTTCTACAGGTTTCAAGCCAGAGGAGAAACTATATATATATATATATATATATATATGATACAATTTCTATTGAAAATAATGACATGAATTGATACTTTATTGGACGATTACAACACAAATAAGTTAATTTTTTAACTGATAACATAAAAGTTGGATAACATATTTGAACATTTTCTCTAGCCCCGTTTGATCATACAATATGAAATCATGAGATGAACTTGAAATTTTGTGATTTGAAGCTTTGTGTCGTATATTTTTTTTTATGGACACAAGAATTCATAAGTTGTAATAGTATTAAAATAATCTTAATTATTTATTCAATCTAATCAAATAAACAAAAAAAATTATAAAATCGCATAATAGATTATTACAAAGCTATTGTGGTCAATCTCGTTCACTCAATATAGGTATAAATTATTTTTCTAATTTAAAATTAAAATAGTAGTAATAAATAAATTTGGTTGATAAAATAATAATAAATTTGATGAATATAAATAATTAAGCAGGAATTGATTTAAAGTAATAATTAATTTTATGTTGATAAAAATAATAAATTTTTAAAAAATAGTGATATAATTATAAATTACTTATATACGAAATAAATAACAATATAAATGTGAAACTGTTTTAGCAAAATATTAATTCATGAATAAAATTATAAACTTTTAAAACATGATATCAAATTTCCAAATTAAAAATATATTCAATATATGAAATTACATACTCAAATATTAATTTTATGTAATAATTTCATATCATATTATCATATCGTATAAACAAGTTGTGCTAATTAAAATGACCATAAAAAATAAGAAAGAAAGAATGAACCAAAATCTGCTCTTATCTAAGCCAGCAAAGTATAAACCAGCATGGCAGCTTCCATGGCCAATTCTCCATCTTTTACAAAATAGAGAAGAAATGGCCTTAATCCCTCATTCCCAAGTTTTCTCTTCTTTCTCAGCCATCAATTCTTTAACAAACCCATTTCCCAAAATCTTCAGGACTATCAAAATCTCAGCTTCTTCTTCTTCATCACCTAATAACTCAAAAGATGAACAGATTGTTGAGACTGACCCTGTGAAGCTCGCATTTGCAAAAGCCAAGGCGTATAAGAAAGAAATTAAGCCAGCTGATTCGATTGCCCAAAATGGTGTGTCAGTGTCGGAAGCAGATGACAGTGATGAAAAAATTGCATTGAACAGTAACACTGTAATAGAAGGTGAGACAGATATCTTCTTCTTTAAGTTTCCACTCTCTGGTTATTATTCAATATTTCAATTTGAATGATGAATTTAGTCGGTGTCAAATTGCATTTTAGGTAAAGCTAGAACTTGAAAGCCATTGTGATGTTGAAGCAATTTTACTTTTTCGAGTTTAAAGCAACAGGGTTTATCGGAAACAACCTCTATATCTCCTGGGTAGGGTAAGGTCAACCTACAACTACCCTCCCCGGATTCCACTTTGTGGGGTTAAGTTTAAAGCAACATGGATGTGCTTGACATTTGTATAGATGGATGGTGAGGATCCCTGCATATAGCTAATGCAGTGTGTGGTTGGTGTTATAGTAAAGATTTACCTTTGCATAAGCATAACTAATGCAGCGTTTAGAATAAGAACATGCGTATTGGGAATATGAGAGTCAAATGTCTAAACACAAAGATTTCTTTAAAGTAGGTAATCTCTACACGTATAATAATCCCTTTATTATTATTTTTACTGCATAAAGAACTTGTGGATTATAATCTCAGGATGACTAGCATGTGAACCAAACGAGCTTAGTCTTTTGTTATGCAAAGGAGAAGGGCTTTATTATCCTTCATTTGGTACTGCAATGTTATCCTGCAGCATTCTTGAAGATGAAATTAGACAGAATAATGAATTTTGCTGTCTGAAATAATAAGTTGTATTGAGCTGAAGGCTGTGAATTTTTGGTATCGATGGTTCTACTTTGTCAAATATTTATTCTGATATTTGAAACTGATTCTTTGTGTAATACTAATTGATAGGACCTCACTGGTAAGTGATATAAGATCATGTGCATTGAGTTCCATGTTTTCAGACCCGTATGTGGTGGTTGGAAAATAAAATGGTGTAATTGAAAAATGAGATTATTTAGGAATACACATTGAATATATTTTATGCTGAAATCATTTCTGGCAGTAGATCCATGGTCAAATTCAAAGTTGTTCGAATTGTATAATCATCAATTACTGACTTGTGTAGGATCTAATAAAGAGAATGGGGAAAATGACTTCATCAAAAAAGAGAATGAGAAAAGTGACATAAATGCTTTACCCAAAGAGAGTGTTAGAAAGAAGGAAAAGTTGTCGATCTCAAGTATTGATTTTGTGGGGCTTGGTTTTTCTGATAATAAGAAGAGCAGGGGACTGCCTGCTGGATTGGTTCCAATAGTCGACTCGTTCCCTGGAGGAGACTTGCCTGACGTAGAAATACTTGTTGGGGACACAAGTAAGTTTGTAGATACCGAGACTTCAAAGTCAAGCCGCATCCAAGAAGATGACATGGATACCTATAAGCCAAAGGTTTCCACCTGGGGAGTTTTCCCCAGACCGAATGACATCTCTAAAACTGTAGGTTGCCTATTATGACTTGTGTTTTAGCTTTTTCTATTATGGATTGTCTTCTTACTCAGTATGCTTCATTTCTAGTTGTCCATTATGATGTCACGGAAGTAGCAGCTTTTAATGCTTTTGCAGAAGTTTATGCTTTCTTTAATATGCCTGAATTCAATTTTTTATGGAGTGGCAGTAGGTTAGTTTCAGCTATAACTCCCAATTACAGAACCTCACTAATTTGACCAAGATTCTTCCTAATTCCTAAAGCAGAAAAGTATTAGTAGCAAAATATGCTTGTGCTAAAGGAAAGATAAACGTAGAAAGCTATGCAAAACTGGATAAATGACATCATATTTCTATCCTCTCTTCATTGAATTAACAGGATTATTGTTTGGAAAATTAAGTTCCTTCGGGTTCTTGCATTATGTTTAACACCATTTATGAACACTTGTCTGTCCCTTTGATGCTATATAGGGTACACTGTACAGAATGAAATTATTTCTTGTTATTATGTTGTGCTTTGTCTCTGTTTATCAAAATTTAGTTGGCGAATTCCATGATCTCTTGAACTAATGAATATAGTCATTTAAGCAAAACACTATCAATAAACTTATTGCTTGTCTGGAGATCAGTTTGGCGGTGGAAGAACTATACGTCCAGGAGAGGTACTTGAATCAGCAGAAGAGAAGGCATCCAAACAAGCACGTACGAGAGAGCTACTTGCTGCCTACAAGAGCAGAGTAGGCCTAACTATTGACCCAAACCTAAAACTTGAATGTGAGCAGGTATGCTTTAACTGCTATTGTTTTTATATCATGTTTATGGATGCATCAAATTTCGTTCATTATGGAAAATGCATTTAATTCGGTTCTTATATTGATCTTGAGAAACGATACAGAAATCTCATCATTTATTCATAACTTTACACTTTCAGCACATATATAAAGTTGTTATATGCCATGCTCAGTTCTATGAATTGCCATGCTGTTAACAATTTGATCGGTCACGTCACACCAAAACTTGTTTCTTCATATAGTGGAATTAATTGTTTCTGTCAATCATTTCTACTTTGAATACACATAAAGCAGTCTCATTTTGAAATAAAGAGGGATATCTGGTCGCGTTGTCTGTCACTTAAATGAATGAGCAAAGAATTAAATGTCTTCGGAGGCTTGGAAGTTGGAACTGATGTGCTCTTTTTTCTCACAAATCCATTCAAATGAACGAAGTTAAAGGTTTTAAGACTTGGAAATTATATCATGGACATGGCCCTTGAGGAGTGAAATAAATTCACGCTACCATCGGACATGAAGCTAAAGATCTTCACAAATATTGTCCTTCAGAGCTCATAAAAACTTAAGCGCACCTTCCGAGCTGTGTAACTTTATCTTCGATTGGATAATCTTGTGGTCTTCACTTTCCAGTGGTTAATTAAATATATTTGCACACTCAGCCATTGTAGATTATAGTAAACTTGGAAATAAACCAGAAGTACAAGAGCTAAATTCTAGATGTGGCCAATTGTGACTTTAATTCCTATGAAATATGCTTTACCTCTGAAATTCCTACAAGTGACAGCTGCTATGATATGCACGGCAGGTGCATATAAGATTGATTTTACAGAAGAGGCATGTCATTACTGGCAAAACTATGGTTAGAAAGACCCAAAAGGTTTGGAAATGTACATGTGAAGAAAATAGAGTGATATTGGTCTTGCATTCTCATTTGCATTTCAAGGAATGAAAACAAGGCGGAGAGGGGGAGAGAATGTAATACTAGGGGAGAATCCCAAGACTTCAAGAAAGTCAGGTGAATGGACCTAAAATACATAAGTTCATATTCCAAGACTTTAAATGCAAACTAAACCAAATAATGCATTTAAGGGGCTAGATGTGGGTGCTTTTCCTGAATTCACAAGTTGTAAAATAAACTAACGATTTATCAACATGGTTGAAATCGATTGAACATACCATTTAGAAATAAATTTCCTGTAAATTTCCATCCTTACAAGCAGTGGTGGAGCCATAAACTCAAACAAGGGGATTTTTAAAAACAATCTCCTGCCAAGGAGATTCAACTTATATATATGCAAAAAAAAAAAGAAGATCATTTTAGGCCCTATGTATGTATATTTTTTCAACGAAGGGGTTACCCCTATGCCTCCACCAAAGTTTATAAGCAAGGTACACTGGAATTGATCTAGTTCAGATACTTGTGTTTATGGTTGATTCAGATAAGATAATTGACATATCTTGAAGGAGTCCTTTGAAAGGGAAGAGTGTTTCAATTATTAAGACATTCTTAATGTGGGTTTATATCCTTTCTTGTTTAAGAATCATGAAGTATGACTTACTTCTTAATTTTAGTGCTGTCATACTTAGGCACTGAAGGATGGCGACTCTTTCATGGACCTTGGCAACCTCAAGGAAGCACTACCATTTTATGAGAAAGTTATGAATAAGTTGCCGTTTCAGGTGATTTCTTGTACTAGATGGACTTCAACACTTAAAATTAACGCATGTATCTGTTTTTTTCCCTTTTCACATCTTAAACCAGAAAAAAAGAAAGAATTGTTTAGATGCATCTTTTCCAACTTCATTTTATGTTTTTTGAGTAAAGGTGCCAACTTGCTCAGCACTCTGTTGTAAATGACCCGCGTCCTTCCACCATAAAAGAAGGAAAAGATCCAACTTCACACTCAAATATCTTTTGGGGATAAGGATTGCATATGTTAATATTATTATGATAAAAGAGGCCTTAAACAAATTGATATGCTTTGCACATAACTAATAAGGACTGAGGTTGTTACTTACACATTTTTGATTCTCTTTCATATGATGTAAAAACTTTAGATTTACTTTCTTACAGAATGAATGCTGTGGTTCATGAGAGACTAGATTACATTTGTCTTACTTTTATACTTCTTAACTTTGTGTTATCCCATTCTTAAAAAAAAGTGAAAATTAATATAAGAAAACCTGAAGGCAATTGAAACTTCTCGTTTTCAGTACATTTGACATTGAAATCTATGGCATAATATTTGTGCAGACTCAGCTTCATGGATTAGCTGCACTGCAGTGGTCTATTTGTCAAGACTCGCTTCGTAGGTATGTCTTTTTTTATTTTTCTAATGTCCTAGGTTTTAAACTTCTTAAAAATGCCTGCCCTTTGCTCTAATAAGAGTAGTTGAAGCATTTATGCTTAAGAATTCCTGCTCACCTAGAGAAATTAAAAAGGAAAGAGAGAATTTCACTGAGCATCTGTCTAATTGATAAAACTTAAAAGAGAGGCCAGCTTAGAATACTGGACCCCTACAAAACTGTGGATTCAAGTGGTAAATTTGCCATTTTCTTAACGTAATATTCATGGTGTTCTTAATGATTTTTATGTTCTGCTCATATGCTTTTTTAAGGCCAATGACATAGAGGTGCGCCTAAGCGACCCGGACACCATGGTTATTAGAAAAAGGGCAGCAACAGAGTGATTCCTAATATGTTAATCACCTTATGTGGCCATGCCCATATTCCTTACTGAGCCATTTTCTACTCATTCTGACTACTATAAATAAGATGGAACAAAAATTTAGGGTATTAAGTTAGATTAGTATAGATCTAACAAGATCAAAAACTTAACTCATCCGTTAGTATAGAGATGAAGATCTCTTGTTACCTCAATGTGTTTGGTCCCTCGTGAAAGGGCACACCAGCACAGCCTGTTAATCGCCTTTACACATTGTTTGGGAATTGAAATTGCAGAAAAGAGACCTCATAAAGTCCCTTTTCTGCATTTGTGAATAATTTAACTGCAGAAAAATGACCTCATGAGGTCTCTTTTCTGAAAAAAAAAACAACTGGTAGCAGATTGTTGCTTTTGCGGCTGCACAACATCCATTTTAATTCAATTAAATAATATGTACATTCTATTAGCTAAAATCAAGCTCAAAGAGCTGCCAACAATCAACCAAACTACAATAAATACATGTGCTAATATTCTCCAATCAAGACTACTCGAAAATCAACTTTAAAGTACTTCGAAATTGAATGGAAAAAGCAAAAAAGTCGTAAGCTGTACTAGATTTCAAACTACTTCAATGTTCTCATTCATTCAGAAAACACAAAATAAGTCTTAAACACCACCATAAAGTACATAGTTTAGATTATCTAATACAACTCTAAAATTCAATAATGAGGAGGTATGTTTGCCACATGATCCTCATCACTGCTGTGCTCATCGGTCAAACCTCTGTACTGACCATATATTTGATGTTGGATTAGTCGAGACTGGAAAAGACGAGGAGGGCAAACTACATCACTGCGACAAGGGGGAATCCACCCCGAAGCAACCAAAGCAAGTAGTGCATCTAATTGGGCCTTCAGCCCTGCATGCTCTATGTCCCTCTGCCTTTCCCTTGCCCGCGAGACTTCGACTTGGCTACATAGCTTAGCTATCTTCTGTTCCAAAATCTTCTCCTTGACCAAGCATACTGGAACTACCTGGGCCTTCTACCTCCGAATGAAATTCATGAAAGGGTCGCTGGGGTATGTCATAAGAATGCCCACCAACCGAGTCTAGCCACATTCTCTCAGTTTTCTCTTGGCTCAGTGGCATACCTCTTCTATCATCTAGTTGAATCTGACGGTAATCCTCAACGGATTGCATGTAGTGATTCTGAATATAACGGTAATAGTATTAGAATATAAATTTAGGAAGTAAAGTCATTATAACTTTAAATTATTGGCTTACGTAGGTCAGTTGAGGAACCCAAACGTCTGGATCTCCGGGGTTTTTCTTCTTCCTTTTGCGTGTAGTCTTCAATGCCTTTGCCTGAGTTACCGGCCTCCCCAGCTTCTTTTCCTACAAATGAAATTGATTTAGTTATTCATCAAGAATATTAAATGTTAATAAGCTACAATATATATAACTTAAGAAAATGAACTTACCAATTTCCTCTTCACATTCCCTTGGCTCTGAACCCCAATTGGGTGTAGAGAGCCACCCTTAGTAGTTGCTTGGACCTTCTTGCCAACCTCGTTTATCTGCTTGAACCTCGAATCGATCTCCCGATGTGGACTCCCCTCATATAAAGGCCGACTAGCAACTTCCAATTTTTCAAAGAAAATTCCAGATTCATCATTGGGAGCTTCTTCAACATGGTCGCGAAATTCAAAATCAGAATGCATCCCGTACGCATCCTTAACCATGTAGTGCATTCTAGAATTTTGGACATTAGGTTTCATTGCCTTACTACTTTCACCAACAACATAGTGTTGAAATCTATCAAAACTATTATCGATTTCTCCATGACTAGTCCACACTGTATAGTCTGCTTTAAACCCATTTCGATAGAGATGAAACTTAACAATCTCTGGTTTTTCATAATTCATACATTTACATTTCTTACAAGGACACTTGACCAAGCTACTAAGTTGAAAAGTTTCTAGTGTCATTGCATACTCCACAAAACCATCAACACCTTCTACAAATTCAGGCTTCATTCCCATTCGACCAAAATTAGTCCTTTCATACATCCAACTACGATCGATCTACACAAAGATCACAAAAATTTAAATTTGGTAAACACTAAATTAAGTAATAATTCAACATTATGACCATTTTCTCCAATTGACCATTGAAGGTATTTAAATTTGGAATGAGTGAAATTTGTTTCCTTCATTCTTCTCCTTTGAGAGAAAAGGAAAAAAAATCGAGAGTGACCAGCATGCAAATCTTGTACGGTTCAATTTTTGGAAATTGGAATCTCTTTTCAGGGAAACTAAGTACATATTTCTCAATCAAACAAGAGACAAAATGAGGAAGATAATTGAGTCTCCCTCTTTCTTCATTCCTGATATTTTTTCACTTCCTAATTTCAACAAGAAAGAATAAAATTAAGCATAATGGACAACTTGCAAAACTCACCTAAATCCTAAAAGAAGACAAATCACATAGAATTCATAGGTTTGAAGAACGCATTCATTTACCTGGACAGATTTGAGGGGCATTGCCAGTGGAGGTGCTGTGGGCTGCAATGACAGAGGTGCTTGGGCGTGGGGGGGGGGGGGACTTCCAGTGGGGGCTGACAATCGGTTGTGAGGATGAGGGTTTTGAGAGTGAGAATGGGGTTGACAACTGTTTTACACAAATGAGAGTTGGGTTTGTATTTTTATTAATATAGAGACACCTAGTGAGGTCGCTATTTTAGAATTTTTGTTTGACCAATAAAATCAACCTCATGAGGTCGCCAACCTTTGTTATATCATCATTTAACCAACTCATGAAGTCTCTTTCTTTTAAAATTTTTGAGGGGTAAAACGACATCATGAGGTCTCTTTTTTGCGACCTATTTTTTAGGTGTCTTTACTGCTTTTTTTTACAACAAGGGAAACCCGCAGCCGCTACCCTTTGGGTGCGCATGGGGTAAACCCTGCTCCTATACAATAGCTCGCAAACCACATAGGAGAGGTAACCCGCATTAGGCAAGCCTGGTGCGACGAGCTCGACCCAGAAGGCAAACCCCTTGCTTTTGCTGGCAAGGGGTTTCGAACTTGAGACCTCCAACATGGAAGTTTCAAGCTCAAATCACTGGTGCCACCCCGAAGGGTTAGTGTCTTTACTGTTTTTCTAGCAGTTAAGCAAGAAGGGTCAATCAAGCATATGGTTTGATAATTTATATGTGATGAGCATCTATCTCTAGACGTCAATTAACCAACTTTCTAATATATCAATCCCTTGTAGTTACTTCTAAAAAGAGGTCCTTAGTACATCTTTCGTGTTTGTACTTAATTGACTTACTGGCTAATCAATTGTTCTGTCTTTGAAATGCATAGTAAACCACTCCCAAAACCAACATTTGCCGACTTCCTTCCCAGAACCAACACTCATGAAAAATACATAAAAGATAAGTGTTTATCCCATGCAATTATGTCAGAATCCTGAGGGAATTGCATCTCTAGAACTTCAGCGTGGAATGGCCGTTTTTGCAACAAACCTTCTGTCATTTCATGATTTTTGTGATGCTTGAATGTTCAAATCATTAAGTGTGAACTTGCACATGGACCTTGTACCTGCTTCTAAGACTGATCATTCATTTCCTCACCATATATGGACAGGTCCAATGAAGCTCGTTCAATGTACGAGAAGCTTCAGTCTCATCCTAATCCTGGAGTTAGCAAGAAAGCAAGACAATTCATGTTCAGCTTTCAGGTAATCATTAGCTATTCAGGCAGCTCATGTTGTGCATCTACCTAGAGTGTAAAGACATGTTGAAAGGTTGAAGTTTAATTACAAACTTGATTTGGGACAGCCGATTGAAAGTTTAGGTTTCTTTTAGGGCTTTGATTGCCTGTTGCTCTTAGATTAGATATTGCACACCCTCAAATGACAGTGTTGGGCTGTTGGCTATTGAAATGACAGAGACAGGAATTTATACAAGGGGATTTTTTAAAAGAAATGCTAGACGACTATCATAGCTAGAATTTGAACGTGTGACCTTAAGTAACTTCCGACCATGTTTACCACACCACACTAGAATCTTCCCTAGATCCAATGGTTTATATTGTAATACTAAGAATTATATATATACTACACAACATACTCCGGATAAGACAGAAATTCTGTAAACTTATGTTGAGCGAAATTAGGTCATCTTGTTGCTACTGAGTACTCGATTTGTTTGTCTTGATTGGTGGCAGGCCATGGAAATGATGAAGGTAACTAGCTCAACATTCTCTTCCATGAATACTGGTTATCAGAATTATTTCGACGCATTTATAAGGGATAAAGTAAATTATTCCCTGAAAGAGGATGAAGCAGAAGATGGTGCAATCCAACAAGCAATCCCTTACATTATATTTCTTCTTTTCCCTATTTTTATTGTGCTATTAATTGCTCTTAGAAAGGGTATATAATATAGGTTTTGTATAGCATTTAACATCTTGAAACTCGATCAGCAAATAACATTGCAACTGAAATGCATGTTTTCCCTAGTATATATATATATATATATATATATATATTGTAATAAAGTTGTGGGCTTAGTTATGTGGAGATCGAGTTTGGGATATACTTGAATTTTATTGTTACTTGGGATCAAGAAGGAAGAGTAACTCAAAAGTCATGTATACATTTGACTAAAGACTTGACAGCACTTGTCGCAAGAGGAGCGGAGCTAGATGAGGTTCATAGGTTTTCCGTGGAACCTGTATTTGTATTAAAAATTATATAAATATACATATGTATATTTAACTTGTGATCCCGTAAAAAAAATTGATTGAAAGTTTACTAGCATGTAATGGTGATAAAAAATATTTTTCACACATTTTTTTTGGATTTAAACACTACTATCAATAAAAATTTCTCTCATTTTAAATTTTAAACTTTCAACTCTCGTAATTCTAATTACACCTCTGCTTGTAGTAGGAAATGATTTTCATTTATATCCACAATTTTAAAGCACAGGCGGTGCAGAGAAAGTATAGTTAGGGACCCCAAAAAAAGAAGTAATCAAAAGATAAATCTATGTTATATTTATATCAAATCAAATAATTTATTTTTAATGGTTAAAAATTAGAATAATAATGCTTAAATGATAACTTAATATATGCATAATCAACAAGTCTTTCGTTTAATTTCATTTTTTATGTTTAAATAAACTAATTAAACTACATATTTTAGTGTAAGTACAATAAGTTCAAATCTGTTACGTATATATAACCACTTAATTAAATATTAAAGAATAAATCTATGATCAAAAGAAAAAAAAATGTAATTTATACTTGTACTTTTAAAATTGCTCAATTCATCTTTCATTTAACTTTTAATTCATTCATTCATTGCACAACAAGGGTAAATTCTTCGCAAAAATGTCATAATTTACTATAGTTTAAATAAATCAAATAAAAGTTCCCTCAAATTACTCTATTTTAAATTTAAATAACATAGGAGAAAATTTGACCTTTTGTTTTTCAAATTAAAAATCAAACATGCTTACTGTTAAAGAAAAATATATAGGCAGTCATTTTTATTTTTCTTCCTTAAAGACAAAGCAAAGAGAAAAAACATACCGCTGAAAGTTATGGTACAGTGATAAATAATTTTCATTCTCGTAAAAAAGCTTTTAATTTGAATTCTAAATATAAAAGGAGAAAAAGACAATATACCTCAGAACTATCGTCGATAACACGTAAATACCCTCCGTCATATTTTTGAGACGTTGGTGCATCTGTCGTTAAAAAACCAGAGCAAATACATCCTTTATACTAAACGGATATACACGTGTCATAATCTTACCGTCGATCCAACAATTATTACATATCAAATCGACGAATAATATTGTGCCACGTGCCCCTATTTAGTTTTGCGCATATATGCTCTAGTTTTTTAACGACAGGGACATCAACGTCTCAAAAGTATCATAGAGGATATCAACATACTATTTACAATAATTCGAGATATATTCCTCCTTTTTTTTCTATATAAAATTATATTCAATACAAAGTATTTTAATAATAATTTTAACACAAATTTAAATTAATTAAATTTTAATACGAATATCGAAACCGAAAACTAATAAAAAGAGGTGTGGAGCGTCTGAAAATATCTGGTGTACAAAGACGCTCCTCCTGGTAGGGTGGTGGGGTCTAATAAAGATAATCCCAACTTTTATTTGCCGACCATTTGCTCAAAATTCATTTTTCTGCCAAATTTGTGGCCATTTCCACTAACTCTTTTTTTTTGGAAAAGTAAAATAAATAAATAAATAAATAAATAAAAGAAGTCCATTAATATTTTTTAATGGTCAACTAAATCACCCTAGAATACAAGATTTGTCTTAATCCCATTATTTTACTTTTCTTTTTTATTTTAATAAAGTTAAAAAAAGAATATAATATTGCTCCACCATCAACATCATCTCTAATATTTTGTAAAATAGTTGATATAAATGTTTTAGCTTTTTTTAATTTAGAAATATGATTAATTAAATAAGGTTTTATTACTTGAAAAGAAATGGGTTTGGGCATACTAAAGATCTATATAATCAGTTAAACCATATGTTATGCTCCCATAATTTATGCCAATATGGTTTGTCCAACTAAGTTCATCATTGTCATTTTTTCAAAAAATAATAATAATATAATACTTCGGGTTCTTCACGAATAAAAAAAAATTGCAATCGATATGATAATGATCGAGTGAGAACAATAATATTATATTCATTCTGATTTTATGGTAGGATATGAAAGGATGGGATATACATAATTATGTCTTTACCTGGTATGTTCGACTCAAAAAATACATTATATAAGACAAATTAAAAAGTAAAAAATATGATTAAAATATTGTAAAAATTGAAAATAATTTGGACCAAATAATCCATAAGTTATTTAATTGAGACAGTGCCATAGGTTGATTTGTCACATATATCACAATAATTCAAACAAGAATTAGCATAAAATTAAAGAATACAAAAGGACCCCATGAACTCCCAATTAGTGCAGGTCAGCATCTAATTCTTATCTTAATCTTATTATTATTTTTTGTTATTAATTAACATGTTTTCTCCATTGTCGTATTCCCCTTTTTCATAACTACTTTTATTTGTTATAGTGAACTAAAGATTTTTCGAAAATAATTTTTCTACCTCTTCAAAATATGAATAAATTTTACATATGCTCTATCTTCACCATATCCCATTTGCGGAGTTACACTGAAAATGTTATTTCATCTTTTCATAAACACTTTGATTTGTTGCAGTAGACCAACTTTCTACCTCCTCGAGATATGAATGCACTCTATCCTCACCAGACCTCGTTTATGAAATTACACTGAATATGTCACTTTTATAATGTTAAAAAATTTCCCACATGACAAATCTAACACCAAAAAGGAAGAAGACCCCTACCCCACCCACACCTACACCCTAGATATGTTATTCCCTCTTTTTTGTAAATACTTTGATTTGCTGCACTTGATCAATTATCTTTCGAGAACAGTCTTTTTATCTGTTTGAAATATGAATAAGTTCTACGTACGTTCTACACTTACCAGATCTTATTTGTGAGATTACATAGAGTATGTCGGTATTGTAACATTAAAAATTTCCCACATGACAAAGCGAACACCAAAAAGCAAGAAGACCCCTACCCCTACACACACAAAAGAAAGCAAGACAAGAACATAAAAAAAGAAGGCTGCTTACAAACCAAAGGCAAATGCACCATTTGGAATCTCTGGTAGTTGAGATTTCAAAAACTGCCTTTCTTCATGAAGTAAAACTCTCCATCTCAAGAAGAAGAAACACTACCTCATATCCATAAACCCTTGAAAAGAATATATCTTTCTTTACCCAAAACCAAATTAAGATGGTGCAAAAAAAAGTCCTCAACAAACTTAGTATCAAAACTGATCATATTATAAAAGCCAACAACCAAATAATGAACCACAAACCATCTTTCCCTATGTTACAAAACCATGAAACCATCAAGAATAGAAAAGCTGAACTCAAGAAAAAGATGATGAAGAAATCAGGCAAAACCAAACTCTTAGAATATGAAATCTCCAACTCACCAAAAAATTTCAGAAAATATGTACCTCAACCAGGCAAACCACCCCCTAGTACTACTAACTCATCAACGACACCAACGAAGCGTCAGCATCAGCAACAGCAACAGCAACAACAGCAATCAACATGTACTCCAAATTATATGAAGTCCACAAGCAGTTCTGTTGCAAGAAAAGAGCAATCTCAGGTAAGTTCAAGGAGCCCTCAAACTTATTCACAAAGTTGTAGTAGAAAGAATTCAAGTAACTCAAAATTAGGCTCAGCTAGTTCTGTTAATAAACCAATAAGGAGTTTATTAGCTAGAACTCCTAGTTTTAAACCAACAAGAGTTTCATCATGTTCCCCTATTGTTATGTATGATGATTTCCAAGTAGAAAGGGCTACATGTTCATCAACTTTGAAAGAAGTTAAGTTTCCTGCATACCTTGAACTTAGTCCTGGAGGAACAGAATCAGATGGAACTTCTGTTTTCAAGGTTTGTCCATATACATATTGCTCTCTTAATGGTCATCATCACCCTCCTTTGCCTCCATTGAAGTCTTTCTTGTCAGCAAGAAGGCGTACGTTGAAGAATCAGAGGAGTTTCAAGTTGGGATGTGTCTCTCCTCGTCGAGCTAATCATCGTGGATTAAGCTTGAGTGATTATGTGCCAAAACAAATAGAGAGTAGTACTACAGAGAAGGTAGCTCCTCTGACAAATGAAGATGAGAAGGAGTTTTTTGTCGAAATTTATAGCAAGGAAAAGGAAGAGACCAACTCGATAGATGATTATTACATCATCGATTCTTCTGTCACTGATCTTGTACCTTCAAATGAAGGCATTGAAGTGGCAGCAGATGATTCTGAGGACAATCTTGATCAAAAGAGAGAAGCCTTGTGTCCGAACGAAGGTGCTAGTGACATGGTTCAAGAAGAAGTGGAGTTTAAATCCTTGAGTATGCATACTGAAATAGAGATAGAACCAACAGCAGAAGAGCTGGAATCTGAAGCTTCTGATATGGACTGGGATGTTGAGAAGTACTATGCATATAGCGAAGACGAAACTGGTTCAATCTCAGATGATATAGATCCCATCACATTCGTTGATGATTCAGTTATCAGCGAGGAGTTCACGGAAAAATCATCTAATCCTGAACTTCTATCTGACAACACTCTGGAAGAGTTCTTTGATAAAGAAAGTATCATCTCTGGAACAAGTTATGCTTATGACGACTCCGAATCTATCTGTTCGCATACAGAATTTGACATCGATGAGTGTGTTGAAGTGTCTGAGGGCACTACACTTATCTCTCTAGATGTCAATTTCATTCTGGATGGTATAGATAGTGAGACAGCAACAATGGATTATCAGGCTGCTGTTAAGGCTGAAGAAACCTTCTGTCTAGAAGATGAAATTTCAACTCCTCACGAGGATTCTGTAACTCCTCAAGATGATGATGCAGCTGCACTCACAGGCTATCAAGAGCTCAATGTTTGCTATCTCCATGAAGTGCTAGATGAAACATGTAAGGATAATGAAAAACATTTGGATGAAAACATTGTCGTCAAGATGGAAGAGACGGAAACAAAAACAGATTGCTGTGAACAAGGAAGTGAAAATAGTCATGGCGATGATGCTCAACAGTTGGTAGTAGAGTCTGATCTCAAAGATGAGAGTGATAAAAGCCATCAAGCTGAAGATGGAAGTGAAAACTCCTCTGGTGTCGAAGCAGATAAAACAGGTGAGGCATGTGTGGAAAAGCAGAACCAAATCAAAGATAATAAGACACATGCAAAATATGATTCGAGTGAAGAAATGTCTGAGAGGTACAAAAACCTGAGAGGCATAGCCAGGCGCAACGACTCTAAGGAGCCAGAGGAGTCAAGAGACTTCAATCCACGACTACCGAATTTCCTGCCACTGGAGCCAGATCCAGATGCAGAGAAAGTTGATCTCAAACATCAGATGATAGATGACAGGAAAAATGCAGAGGACTGGATGCTTGATTTTGCACTCCGACGAGCAGTGGACAAACTTGCACCAGCTCGTAAGAGAAAGGTTGCATTGCTCGTGGAGGCTTTTGAAACAGTCTTGCCAACATCTAAATGGGAACCTCACCTCAGGCGCAGCGCATCAGGATTCACACATCCTAGACCAATTCAAGCTTGCAACTGATGCAAGTTCAAGGTCAGTGCAAAACTCATACCATTTAATACAATTCTGTCCTTATATTTCATAACCAAGCTACTAGATGAAATCTTGAAATACACAGAATATTTTTCATAGATAAGTTACAATAAGCACATGTTCTCATTGTGGCACAGGTGGACATCAGCGCGGAGCTAGTAAGACAATCTTTCGTCCAGGAACAACTGTCTTGTTGCTCACAATTCACAACCCTCCAACATGTGCAAGGATTTCAGCTTAAAGGCATTAAAGGAATCGATTGGGATTAGATGGTGGAAAACATCATCATGGAATCTCAAGTAATTTATATTTGTGTGCTTCTCTTCTGAGGATTATGCCTACACATACTCGAGTACTGTTGTGAAAGATTTTATGTACTTCAATCTATGGCTTTATCTATAGTTGGCTAATATTTCTTATATGTATCCTGACATGTTATGGTACCATTATCTTCAACTATCATCTCTACTACTACTATATCTGAAGTATGCCAATAAATTGCTTTTGACATGCATTTAACCAGTAATCATTAAGAGCAAAATGAATTTAACAGCTCGAATAATGGTTAGAAGAGAATAGAGTTCATCAAAGAGTAGAAACAATTGAAACACTAACTGCTCAATGTATATGGAAGAAACAACTGCATCTTAGCTAAAGTTATTTACTATCACAAACTTTTAGCTTTCTCTTCAAAACACTTCAACTAATGATTCCAAACAAACTGGAATTAACAAAAATAAACTACTGAGAAAAATGAAACCCTTGGGAGTTTTATCACTCTTAACCACATAAAAATGGAAGTCAACCAAACTATCACCTGAAAAGGTAAGAAACAACATAAAATACAAATTTAGACCCTCATTCCTACTAATACACAACCATAAGCTTAGGATAAAAGACAGGAAAAAGGCACAAAAAGTAATTTCTCTTCAGAGTACAATACATGTTTAATTAAAACCACTCATAAAATGTTGGAAAATAGAAACATATTATTTAAAAACTATGCATTCAAGTGTAATTGTTTTTTTTTCTTGGATTGTGATGAAAACTAGAAGTGACTTCAACGAGTAAAGCAAGAAAACAAAAAGCTACTCTTTTGTATCTAAGTGCAATTTAAGCCCTGATTCATTAATAAGTGATTGTAGCTCTTTCTGGTAATTCTCAAGAAGACTGTCATTGGAGCTGAGGTCTCTGGAATCCGCCAAGCAGGTGCTAGAGTTGTCATTTTTAGCACTCTCTTCCGATTTCCTTGTAAGATCATCATAAAACACCTTAAGCATTTCCACTGTTGAACGAGATTGCACAGAGTCATGTAACTGCTGGAACTTATTCTGGATTTCCTTTGTATCAACCATTCTTTCTATTAAGCCGTTGGGAAGTGAGGCCAAAGCGCTTCAAAGAGGGAAAAAAAAGGAGAGAACATCAAATTTAAATCCAAAATGTCATGAAGAAAATTTCTAGTTGGTACACAAACTCAACTCTCTATGAGTTCCAATTTCCATGTATGCAATGCATATACTTACCTAGTTATACCTCTGACAAGACCCCAGTTGTAACCAACATATACAGAGTCCGTAAAGCCAACATTAAACCCCTCTTGAACTGAAGCTTCTTTCCCTGCCATAAGACCCTCACGGTATCCGACCTAACAATTCATCAGGAATTCCAAATACAAATTGAATTTGCAACCAAAAGAGACACATCTAGTTTTGTTTTCTGGATGCTATCAATCAGATTAAACTTGTAAGGATACAGTGTGGAATCGGTCATGCCGCCTCTGCCATTCCCTGTCCATTTCAGATGTTTTATCCGGTTTATCAGTAGAATCATCGCACGAATCTCCATTATCACTCCACACGTCGCACCACTCGCTCTCTGGCATTAGATGTTAATTGCAGTCAACACTAATAACAAAACTATGTACAGGAGAGATCCTAACCAAGAAAACTATACATAGATAAGAGAACATCTCCACTTAGCAGCATTTAACCAACATATTTATTCACAATCACGATCAGAGGTTTAATAAAGTTTGAAACGAGTAAATAAGGAAGGATAGGAGAGATAATATAGTTCTTTAAGTTTTGATTGATCTTTGGCAAACAAAGGAAGGCGACGGAGACGGGAAAGAACAATGGTTAATCAATCCAGACTTTACTTTCAGCAATTTGATATTCAAATGTTAATAGAAAAATGCATTTCTAATTTTCATTATCAGCTTGAAGCAATCAGCTGACGTTCATACCATGTGGATCATCGTTTCCCAAATTGGTAGTCGGCCTAAGACTTGATTGAAGATTTGACATATCGAAAATGTCAGAGTATAGTTCATCCTTTATACTGCTTTCCATCTTTAAGCCTAGGACAATCAAATGAAATAAATGCAAATAAGAAAACCATGTAAGTTCAAATATCATAAGCCAAAAGCAAAAAAAAGAAGAAAAGAGATTTGAGGCACAAAAGTAGTTCATCCTTTATACTGCTTTCCATCTTTGAGCCTAGGACAATCAAATGAAATAAATGCAAATAAGAAAACCATGTAAGTTCAAATATCATAAGCCAAAAGCAAAAAAAAGAAGAAAAGAGATTTGAGGCACAAAAACACTAACATCTAATTTGGGTGAAGGAATATTATTTTGATCTGAAGATGGACACAACCTAGAGAACATGCAGTAGTCCGAATCTTTTTTTTTTGACAAGGGAAACCCACAACCACTAATTTTTGGGTGCGCATAGGGTAAAACCCCTGTTCATGTGCAATAGCTAGCAAACCACACAGGAGAATGTGGGGTACTTATAGGGTTAGTACTTTTGATGGTCATAGATACTTCTTAACTGTGGTGGATGATTTTACAAGAATGACATGGGTATTTTTGCTGAAAGTAAAGTCTGATGTGTGTGTAGTGATTCAACAATTTCTTACTCAAGTACATATTCAGTTTGATAAGTTAGTTAAAATAGTAAGGTCAGACAATGGAATTGAGGTAGTTAACTCAGTATGCGGTAACATATTCAACCAACTTGGCATAATTCATCAAACAAGTTGTGCGAGTACCCCTCAGCAGAATGGAGCGGCTGTAAGGAAAGCATAGGCACTTTCTTGAAATGACTAGAGCCATTAAGTTTCAGGCTCAAATACCTATCAAGTTCTCGGGACTATGAGTGTTAGCAGTTGTTTATTTAATCAATAGACTTCCTAGTTCAGTCCTGCAAAACAAGTCTTCAAATGAAGTTTTATACGATAAAAGACCTTATCTGACTCATCTAAAGGTTCTCGGATGCTTGTGTTATGCATAAGTTCTCAAAGAGAAGTTACAACCTAGATATAGAATGGAAATCCATATGGGATATTCTACAACTCAGAAAGGATATCTTCTGTATGATATAGACACCAAAAATCTGTTTGTTAGCAGGGATGTCATATTTAGGGAAGACACCTTTCCTTTCAAAAGTCAATCTCCTACTGCTCACATCTTGTTTTTTTCCATCATATCCTTACAATCATATCTATGAGACACCCTGCTCCAACTCAGACAGTCTTCAGAATAACAGGTTGTACCTTAGATGTGGAGCCAGTGGTCACTGCTCAACCTCCATCCATAGGAAAATCTCAATCTGAACCTAGAAAGTCAGGTAGAAAGGAACCCAACGATATGGTTAATGGACTTTGTGTCCATGACTTTACATAAGGAGGCTCCCTATCCTATGTCCAACTATATTACCTATGATCATCTATCTCCTAGATATCAAGCTTTCATAGCCAAATTTTCTTCCACAATAGAACTACAAGTTATAGTGAGGCGGTTAAAGATCCAAGATGGGTGGATGCAACGAAACTAGAAATTGAGGCATTAGAGAGCAATCATAGTTGGGATATAGTTCCTCTACCTGAAGGGAAGAAATCTGTAGGTTGTGAATGGATCTACAAAGTTAAGTACAGAGGCGTTTGGAGAGGTTGAAAGGTTTAAGGCAAGGTTGGTTGCCAAATTCTATAGTCAAAAGGAAGTAATTGGCTACCAAGACACATTTTCACCAATAGTGAAAATGAAATTTGTCAGGTCTGTTCTAGCTATGGCTGCAGAAAAACATTGGCATGTACATCATATGTATGTATACAATGCATTCTCACAAGGTGACCTTCATGATGAAATATACATGGAACTACCCCAAGGTTTTAAGAGTCAGGGGGGAGTCTAAGACAGCATGCAGACTCATAAAATCCTTGTATAGATGGGAACAAAATCCAAGATAATGGAATGTCAAGCTCACTGAGGCACTTGCAAGGTTCAAATTTCAGCAAAGTCAGCATGACCACTCATTGTACATTAAGAGAAGTACAAAAGTTACAACCATAGTATTAGTTTATGTTGATGATATGCTTATAACCACTAACAAGAGATCGTTTAAAGCTCATTGAAGACACAAAACTTACACTGCGAAGGTGCATTCAAGATGAAAGATTTAGAGTTTGCTAGATCTAAAAAGAGATTCTAATGCATCAAGGAAATATGCATTAGAACTAATCTCTGAAACTAGACTAGGGGCATCTAAACCTATCATGACACCTATTGATACAAATGTTAAGCTCACCATTAAGGAGTCTGATCATCTTAACCAAGCAGAAAATAAAAAATCAGGAACTCTTGCTGACCAAATTACCTACCAAAGGTTAATAGGTAAGCTTCTTTATATTACTACGACGAGGCCTAGTGAAATATTGAAGGAGGACGCACCTAGCGAAGCAGGGGCATTTTAGTTCTGCCTAAAAGAATTAACTACTACTAATCCTCCTCCTAAAAGTAGTTTAGCTAATATTCATCAAGAAATTTACTTCTTTCAAAATGATTGGAAAGAATACAAATACCAATTACTCTCTCTATATAATCTCTTCTCTAATAGTCTTTTTCTTCTTCATCATCTACTAATTGGGATCAGTCTCTGGATACTTCTAAATCTCAATATAACGTAAATACAAGCAAATAAACTCGACTAGGCATTTTCAAAGAGGAATTCCAAAAACAAAATCACAAACAAAAGCAAATAAGTGATAGGCATCTCACAAGTAAATTAAACAGTTAATTCATGCATTTTATCAAACAGGTAATAGGCAATTTCACAATACTTCTCCATTCTGAGATAAAAATTGATTCGTCTCCAGTAAAGCATAGCGAAAAACATATAAATACTCACCGGAGAATTTGGGGGAAAATCACCGGCGTGGTAGAAGAAACGAGACTTTTATGCCGCCGGTTTATTTTTCAATTGTTAAAAGTTTGAATAGAAACGGGTTGTTTCAAATATATAATTTCTTTTATATAATAAAAAAAATAAGTCAAAAAAGTTACAAAAATATATATAAATTGACTATATAATATAGGGAAATTTTCACATATAGCAACTTAAAAATAATTAATTACTCTCCATAGTTATAGTTTGATAATTACAATTTATAACTATATGTTATTTGGAGGAGAGAGGTGAGCGAGACTGGGAGAGAGAGGAGAAAGGAGAGAGGAGAGAGGCGAGAGGCGAGAGTCGAGAGAGAGGAGAAAGGAGAGAGGAGAGAGGCGAGAGTCGAGAGAGAGGGTGAAAAGAGTGGAGAAAGGTGAATTGTAAAAGTATATTGGTTAGATAATTGTATATTATACATATGTAATTGTATATATGACAAGTGAGATTGGAAAAGGGAGGAGAGAGGCGAGCGAGACTGGGAGAGAGAGGAGAGAAGTGCGAGAGATCGAGAAAGGAAGGAGAGAGGCGAGCGAGAGAGGGCAGAGAGTGGGAGAGAGGTGAATTGTATATGTATATAATTGAATATAACTGTATATTATACATATACATTTGTATAAATGGCAAGCGAGATTGGGAGAGGGAGGAGAGAGGTGAGCGAGATTGAGAGAGGGAGGAGAGAGGTGAGCGAGAGAGGGCTGATAGTGCGAGAGAGGTGAATTGTATATGTATATAGGATAAAAAATTGTATATTATACATATTTATTTGTATATCCTGACGAATTATACATATACAAACATGACTAATTATATAAACTCGAAGTCAGCCCACATAATTAATGTATAATGTTAGTCGCGAGTGGTAATTACAACAAATTATAGCTATGATGAGTAATTAAATGGTACTCCCTCTGTCATATTTAGTTGTCTACTTTTGAAGTGACACACATATTACGATACCAATAATTATCATAGGTTAGTTACAATTTTACCCTTAACTTAAAAGATTATGCGCAACTCTCCAAGTATAATAAATGTATTTTTTGGTTTCAAAAAGCATGCATTACAATTTAGTAGTACTAGAAATTTTCTAGAATTAAATAAGGGCATATTAGGAAAAAATTTATTGTACTTTTTTGATTTGTTAAAATGGACAAATAAATATGGACAGATATAAAAGGAAATATGGACAAATAAATAGGGACAGAGGGAGTATAAGTTTGCTTATCTACGTAAATTTCCCTATAATATAATAGTTTGTTAATAGTATATAATACATACTATACTTATACATGATTTATATACTATACTTATACATGATTTATATACTAACGATATATAAACTTGAAAAAATTAAATATAGTTTAACTATGCATGAAGTATACATCAACAAATTCAATCTTGATCAACTTAAAATCACATCTAATAGTCTCATAATTTAGATATGAAATTCTTTTAATATTTCAAATTTTGACATATAATTTGTTTGAAGCGATAATTCACGAAGAAGATTAAATAGCAAAGTTGAAAGGGAAAAAAAAGGTAGCAAACACCCATTAATGTCGGAACTGAAAGGAAGAAGAATAAACATAAGTGTCACTTATGCAATTTGTTTTCTAAGTCACTTTCCTATTCTAAAGGAGTTTGTTTTTTGAGAAAAAAGTTTTCCATTATAGAGGTGATCCGAGGATTATGAATTTGTGAGTTTTAAATTTTTGGACAAAAAAATAAAAAATAGTACAAAACATTCTTTTTTAGTTTTTTTTTTCAAAAAAGGGAAACTTTTGTTGATGGTGGAGATTGAAACCACAACTCTAGCATGGAATCGTTTCCACGATCACGGTCCATTTCTTACCATTGAGTGATCAACTAGTTTGTTAGGACATTCACAAGTTAATTTATATATATGTTTGTTTAATTTTCTAATACAAATATAAGATCTCCGAAAAAGTTGATGGATTCGTCTAAACCGCCACATAGCTACACCCCATTTCCAAACAATTTTAATCAAGTTGCTTGGAAAATATTTTCTCCCCCGTAACAAACACACATTAAATTATCCAAGATCGAACTAGTCATGGTGTAATTAGTTTAAGTATATGAGCAAATACATACAATTATTTTAGTGTTACGAATATTCGGTGTAGTTTTTCGGTAAATTTTCATCATTTAAGTGGAAAAAAAGAAGAAGTTTCAAACTTATATTTATCTTACACTTTGCTATTTCCTCCATTTCAATCTGAGTGACACCTTTTAAATTACAAAATTTAAATAAGTTTATTTTTGACGTAATATTCTTATATATCTTTTAATTGTCAATTGTTATGAGTTACAACAATACTCTTTATATTGTTTATAAATTTTATTTTAAAAAATTAAGAATTTCATATTCAAATTCAAAATCAAACTTAAATAGTTTATTACCTCTTAAAATTCAAACTATACCACATAGTAAATTGAAACGGAACGAATAGTATTGATGCAACTCCGAATAAAGCCCTTTTGAGTTTCAATACATAGAGAGTAAAGAAGCATAAAATAGTTGGTTCCAAGTATCAGGAACTCCAGAAAGGCAAAAATGTGTACAATCAATGCCTTTATAGCCATTATGATTGGCTGGATGTCCATCTTTTCTTAAATGTGAAAGAATTGTAATATCCAATAGGAATATTATTGACTCTTTTTTTCTCAACAATTTCTTCACTATTTGGGCAGCTAAAGGCAAACCACCTGGATAAATTGATCCCATAACTGGTCTTGTTTCATTTGAGCAACCTTTCACTCCTGGATCACCCCAATCTTCTCCACTGAAACAAATAAGGAATAGTTATCGGTTTATATACATCTCGATTATTATATTGAATGCTTGTTGTTTATCATTAATATATGTTTTAGGTAGTGGCTTAGACACACATAGCTTAGATAAAAAAAAAATATATAACATATGTAGGCCAAAAGTTATTTCTCATACATATATATTAAATTTTGGATATTTTTAATGAAATTTCTGATTTCGTCACTAAACTCACTCCTAGGTAACTTTATCCACCTACCAATCAACCATCAAAAACATGCATATCCCGTTGAATGCTACCAGTGAAGTCTAAGAAGGATGATGAAGTGTGCGCAAATCGAATCACTTGGAGATAGTAAAACTGTTTTAGAAAGATTATCGACTATAGTACAACAAATACAAGTAAAATAAGAAAGAAAACAGTGTAACAATCATAGCAACTAGTTAGGAAATTAACAGAGTCAACAAAGGAGCAATAACAATAACAAAATTATGTGATGAACGAATTATATATAAAAAAGGGAAAAAACATAATTATCTCCCTAGACTATGATCGAAATTTCAGAGACATACCTTAACTAAACTAAGGTTCTAGTATCTCCATGAACTTTTTTTTTTTTAATTTTTACACCTTTTGTCTTACGAGGCACACTCCGTGACACCACGCAATTGAGGTGCGCGGGAGATATTTGGATGTTACGTAAGCCAAAAAAGTGCACAAAATTACAAAAAAAATGGGTTCGAGGGGGGAGGGGGTAATAGGAACTTAGTTTAGTTAAGGTGTGTCTCTGGAATTTCAATCATATTTTAGGTTCTAGGGAGGTAGTTGTATATTTTCCCTATAATAAGCATCATATGATGATAAATACCAAAAGCAAGAACTATAAATATGCGACTAGTACTACGACATACTCGAGCAAATCTAAACCTAAACTGGACTTCTAGGTAACTTTATCCACCAACGAACAACATATCCAGTGGAATCTCATAAGTAACGTCTAAGGAGAATAAAATGTACACAAACCTGATCGCTTGGAGATAGTAAAACCGTTTTCAAAAGATCATCAACTCAAGTGCAACAAATACAAGTAAAAGACGAAGAAAAGTAGAAACCAATGAAGTAATCTTAGCAACAAGAAAGAGGCAACAACAAAAACAAAGTAATGTGATAATCGAACACAATAAACAAAATAAAATGATATATATCAAAAACAAAATCAACTTTAGAAATACGACTAATATTATAACACAAACAAGCCTAAACCTTCAAAACAACAAGAATTAAAATCAAGATTATCTTACTGGTGATGAGAAGCAGCTTCTCCTTGGTAGAAAACTTTGGTTTTAGTAGGATCCACTTGTGTCTCAACCCATTTGACCCATGTATTTAATCCTCTTTTAAATGCAGCTATACGATTCATATCCTTCACCAATTTTCCACCATTCTCAATATAATCCCACCTATAAAAAAACATTATAAGGAAATTAAATCAATTTATTCAAATTTTTGTCATAACAATTGTTAAATAAGTGCACAAAGTTATTTTTTATTTTTGTATCTTGCTCTAGTAATTAATTCTTGAGTTTGTTTATATATTGATTGTGTAAATTTTTTTATATAGTTAGACAATCATTCAATAATTACTATAGTCATTAATTTATACTAATTACTTAAAATTTAAGTTCTATACATTAACGTCTTACATCGAATGTCTATAGTATATATATTAATTGATAATCTCATGAAAAATCTATACTTACTTATTATTACTAATTAAACTATATTGATAACTTTTATTTTCTTACTGTCGATATATATAACTTAAAAAAGCGAATAAATAGAGAGTACGTACGGTTGCTTTGGTTTTCCTCTTGTCCACCAAAGCCAAGTATTAAAGATCAAAACATCAGCTTGTTTCCAAATTTCTCCATTTTTAATGGAGTTTAGTTTTAGTACTCTTCCAATATTAGGTTCCACTTCAACATCTACTAGGAATAATGAGTTGAATAATGTCACTAAAACCTTATAATCCTGCAAAAATCCAAAAAATAGTTATTTTTCCAAAATGTCAAAAGTGTCCTACAAATTATGTTTGCAACAACTCGTAGAGATACGATAGCGAACAGGGGCGGACCTACAGTGGTGCAAGTGGGTTCATATGAATCCACTTTGTTGAAAAATAACATCGTACATACATGTATATTTAATTAGTTTTTAAAACTTTACATAGATATATATAATTTTGACCCCACTAACACAAGTTTAAAGCTTGGCCGAATGGTTAAGGGGGTTCAAGTTCTCCCAA